AGACCCCCTCATATTTTCCTGTTTTTATCCACCACCACCAGCATTTTATAGTGGGTTGCGACGGGTGTGAGGAAAGTCCCATTCTGCTGATGGAAACCTTAGTCTGGATCCAACCCCATGATGCAGCAAGAGGAATGCAATTTTACTGTATTTTAAAACGGAGATTTATTTCACTGGCTTTTTACTGGCTTTTACTGAGCTGTAAACTCTCTTGGGGACTTTTTAGTTGAGAGTTGTCTATTCATACAATCGCTAAAGAAGTGCCGCCAACCTTTCAGGGATAAGTTACCATTAAATACATTTGAGAACTCTTTGAATTCCAGTTTAGTATATATCATATTTATCTTCAAATGTTCATTGTGACTCTTGCAAAGAGGGTAAAGAGAGAATATAAGCAAACAAAAGATCTGAGAACAGTGTTTTATGGTTGCCAAGGGGAGTATAAATTAGTAAAAGAATAAAGTGCTAGCTGAACAATGTCGTTCTTTCCTTTTAAATTCTTTTGTATTGTTGCTTCATGTCATGTCAAGACGATGTCAAATATCACATTAAAAGAGTGCCGTACTGCATTATGAATAACATGAGATGTAAGTGTAAGAGAATCAATCTTTTTGTAGTTATTTAGATACAATGAAGAATGAATATAAAATTTTATAGCCAGATCTTTTCGAAGTTCATGGATGCTGGTTTACAGCAAATGCTTCAACCATTTATCAACTTTTGAATTCAAAGTTATGAGACCAGAAATTCTTTAATGCTTACTTTGCCAACAATTTTGATGGAGAGTGTTTATTAATTCCCTGTCATATTATTAAAATGAATGATCCATCACCTTTCTACAAATATCCCAGCTTGCACTGCATGCACGATACTTCGAAATTTGGGTTTTTCTTCTGGCCTCCTTTTTGTCATCCCCATTTTCCTCGTGAAGGTAGACGCCAACCAATCCCGTACTTCCAGTGGGACTGAATCGGACTGGATATCCGAGAGTTCATCCTCTGTGTCCAAGAGCCTCCTACAAGTAAGCATATTATTTATTTAATTTATTTATTCATATCCTCCCCTCCCTGCCGAAGCAGGCTCAGGGCAGTTTACAAGGCCATCGGCATCATAAAAACACTGACAATAAAATAAATTAAAACCATAAGAACAGATTCCAAAGGTGATGCATATATACGATGGCAAAGAATGTCCTGATCGGCCACAATGAGGTCAGCAATAAATATACGACTGGTGTCTGGCTCCTTGATGCATTGTTCCTCAGTGTGGGCACAGATGTCAGATCAGGCAGCCAAGGATGGATTATAGGCAGGGTTGCCAGCTCCGAGGTGGGAAATACCTGGAGATTTGGAGGGTGGATCCTGAGGAGGGTGGGGTTTGGGGAGGGGAAGGACTTCAGAGGGGTTCAGCTCCACAGAGTCCACCTTCCAAAGTGGCCATTTTCTCCAGGGGAACTGATCTCTGTCACCTGGAGATCACTGATAATCCCAGGAGATCTCCAGCCACCACCTGGAGGTTGGCAACCCTGATTATATGGCACAGATTATCCAGTTGATGTTGGGCAATATTGTAGAAGCATACATTTTTAGAGCCACGCGTTTTAAACATGTGAATGGGGAAATGAGTACCAAGTTAAATTATATAAACAATATATACATTGAACTGTGAGTGAGCTACTATAAGCTTTTAAAATTTTAAAATTATTAAATTAAGGTTCACAATTGTACATGTGGGGGACCCATAAGAACTTGCAGGGGCATCTCATTTCTCCCTGTATCCTCTCTCCCATTATTTCTTTTTTCCCTTGCCCTGGCAGTTCCCATATCCCTTCCCCTTTCCCTGCTCCCTTCTCTCGTTCCTCCACACTAGCCAATTTTATCTGCTCCCCACCTTTACCTATATTTACTGTTTATTTATTACATTTATCCCCTACCTTTCTTCCCTGTGAGAATCGAAAGCAGATTACATTGTTTTCCTGTTCTCCATTATGTGAAGTATGTTAGGCTAGGAGTGTGTGACTGGCCCGAAATTATTCAGTGAGCTTCCACAGCAGAATGAGGATTCGTATTTGGGTTTCCCAGATGTTTGTTTGAAACTCTAGCTACTGTGTCAGACTGGCTTTTGTTTGGTGGCTGCTCTTGAATAGTAGCAAGCAGCTGGGCCTGCCAGTGGTTACTGCTGTGTCTGGCCCTGTCAAAGGCCAAAACAGGCCTTTACAGACAGAACCTAAGGCTGGCAGGCTGGCAATATTGTTCTGGTTGCCTAGCAACTCCCACAATCACCACTGCTGAAGGAATTTATTTCTTAAAGATATAGGTTCTGCTTCTATTATTTGGGGAGGGTTAACCCCCCAGTGTGTGTGTGTGTGTGTGTGTGTAGGTTTAAATTTCAGACTTTTGCAAACCCAGGGTTTTTCTCAAGTTTGTAGAAAGATTTCTTGCTTATTCATGGGTCTTGTCTCTGGATTTGCATCCACAGGTGCAGACTTGTTGAGAATTACATATACTGACAGAATTATATGTGTTTGGACGCAGTATACCTCTGCATGCTTTTGGAACCTGTGGGCCTTCCAGGAGGGTCTGGTGGTCTGATCCAGCATGGCTGCTCTTAAGTTCCTATGTTGATTTGGCTGGTTTCTATGCCACCTCTCCATAAAGCCTACTCAAGTGTGAACAACTTGGCATTTGTCAAACGCACCACCCCCCAAAAAAACCCAAATCTGATAAATCCATTCAATCCTATTTTTAAAGGCTTTTGCAATTATGATAAAATTAATTCAATAAAAGAAGATTCCCTTCCTTTACAATCACACTAGTAAACACGGATGGGATCATCATCTAGCAAAACAAACAGTAGGCTCTGTGTGCAGTGGAAAAGAACTGCTTAGCAACTGCAGACCCGCTAGCTACATATACCTTGAAGATGAATACCGCCTTCAGAACAGCAGTGATTACAAAAATGTAATGCAGTGTTTACAAAAATCGAATTTGCCCCAAGCCCTGATCTAGATGGCCCAGACTAGCTCAATTTTCTCAGATCTCAGAAGCTAAGCAGGGCTGGCCCTTGTTAGCAGAGGTCATTTCAAGGGGGGATTGCGGGGGATCACAGTTCCCCCGGGTGAGGTACGGGGGGTGGGGCACATGACGAAGCCCCGCCCCCTGCTTCCGGCCGCCCCGCTTCTGGCCCTCATTCAGCCAGGAGGAGGCAGGAGAAGAGGGAGGGTAAGTTGCTTCCTCCCTGCCTCTCCCCACCCCTGCCTGCCTGGGGCCAGGGAGGGCCTTCGCGGGGCTTCCTTGCACTCCCGCCGGCCTTGCAGGTCCACCGCCAGGCCCCTCATGGGGCTTGGCAATGGAGCTGCAAGGCCGGTGGCGGCGGCCGGGACCGTTGGGGGCAGGGTGTGTGGCCTTATGACACACTTCCGGTGATGTCAGGGGGTGTGGCCTTATGACACACTTCCGGTGATGTCAGGGGGTGTGGCATATGCTAATGAGTTATGCTAATGAGTTCCCCTAGCTCTTTTTCTACGAAACGACCCCTGCTTGTTAGTATTTGGATGGGAGACCCCTAAGGGTCACGCAATACAGGGGCAGGCAATGGCAAACCACCTCCCAACATCTCTTCCCTTGAAAATCACACAAGGCTGCAGCTTGAAGGTACTTGCCGCCCCCACTGGATTGCCTCAAGCAAACATGGAGGAGAAGAGAGAGCCATTTCTTGCAGAAAGCCAAGAAACAAAGGGGGGGGGAAGATCCTAATACTGTCAAATTCTCAATTTTATTTTGTATAAATACCACTGTGTGTACATTTTGTGCAGGATTGCTCGTCCATGAGGGGGGAAATGTGTTTCTTCAGTAACGTAGCGAGTTCCATGTATATACGTGGGGGGGAATATGTTCTTGGCAATTAAAATTACTCATTTTGCTACTGATGGGTTACATAGACTTCCCTGAAGGATGCAATTTTTTTGTCTTGAGACAAAGCTCAGTGCTCAGAACATGCATACCTCTGGCTTTTATAAGAGCAACAAATTTCTTCTGTCCTCCCGGGATGCATTCTCTTTTCCTTCAGTCATGCCAGGGGCACACTGAGAGACTGAACATCCATACAACCGTTTGCAAACTAATGCTTTTCCCTTCACATTTCTTTCTTATGTCTCTTCCAGCTATTATTTTGCCCAAGCAGGAGGGCTTCTGTGCCAGTGACAGACATTCATGGGAAACCAAGGAAATAGATTTTTTAAAAAACACTTTCTTGTTGTTGTTTTGTTCCTCTTTATTCCTCCGTTCTCTTTAGGGTCTTCTTTTCTTCATAACAAATTTGTGGAAATCTCTAAGAGGCTTCTCTTGAGACCTCAGTGGTAATTCAATTGAAGAGAATCTTATACCTGTCTGGATTAATTTCCTGAAAATTCAATTACTTCAGCCTCACTCTCAGACTTTCTGCTGGCCCACAGCAGAAATGGGGACACCATTAGAAGCCGGCTAATTCTCAGTTATTTCACCCAGTCTCTCTCACAAAGTTGCTGCAAGGATAGCCTTGGGAGAGAACCAAGTACACTACCTTCAGCTCCTTGAAGGAAGGACTAGATAAAAATGTACCAAATGTGTATGTTAAGTGCCATCAAGTCACTTCTGATTTATAGCAACCTTGTGAATTAGGGCTGCCAAGTGGGGGCGGGTAATCGGGCCCCGGGGGGAACTCCGCCCCCTCCGACGATTGGGGCCATGCCCTCAACGTGATCAACATCGCGCGTCACTTCCGGACACGTGCACACGTCCACCTACGGCTCCCGGAGTTTGGCGAGGCTCCCCCACTGCCAAAGTAAATAGATTTGGCAACCCTATTGTGAATTAATGTCCTCCAAAATGGCCTATCGTTAATGGCCATTCTCAGGTCTTGAAAACTGTGGGCCGTGACTTCCTTGAGTCATGCTGGGTCTTCCTCTTTTCCCACTGCCTTCAAATTTTCCTAGAATTATTGTCTTTTGCAGTGACTCTTGTCTCAAAATGAGACCAAAATATGAGTCATTTTAGTCATTTTAGCTTCTAGGGAAACTTCAGGCTTGATTTGATCTAGAAATGTACCAGATAGATAGATATTATTCAACACAATGAGGGGTCCTATTTGGATAGCCTTGTCTGAGGTCATCTCTGGACACATTCCATACCATGAGAAACCATTAGGATCAAAGCTCCCTCTAAGCTGTGGAGTCTTGTGAGCAAAAATTCTACTTTCTGAGCTACTGACATTAAAGTTGTGTGCGAGCAATTTGGCGGCTGCATAAATTAGTTTGCTCCGGAGTCATCCTTCCAGAGCTAAGACAAAAATTTGTGATCTGGAGGCAAAAAACTGTGAGCTAGCTCCCACTAACTCAGCTTAGAAGGAGCACTGATTGGGACTGCCTTCCCAAACCTGGTTTGCCTTTAACCATATACCCCAGTCCTCCTGAATGGCCTGCCCTCCAAAGTAAAGCTCCAAAAGCAGACCTTTTGCTAGAACAGATTAAGGCAAGGATCCCATCCAGCTTACCAAACAGCAGATAACCCACTTCCCACTAGGTTCGGTTCTTTCCAACAGCCTCATTCTGATGATCTCTTGGATGAAAATTCATAGCCGAAGGCTCCCATGCCTGCACATACGCAATCATTCACTTGAATGAAGGGGACAGATTTAGCTCAGTTCAGTTCAAGTGTCTTTGTCTTGGCCATCAGCCACAAGAAAAGGGAATGGGCGGCATAGAGATTTATTTCTCTGTTACTGGAATGAGCACAGAAGGCCACGTACACAATGACTTCATGTATACCTTGGAGCAAGCTCAGGGATCAGACATAAGAGTGTTCTTTAATGAATCAGAACGTGTATTAAAACTTGGATTTCTAACAAAAATACATAATTGCAGGGACACCAAACCTAAAACAATATTGCCAGATCGCCTTTGCTCATATAGGCCTGTTTATGAAACGTTGTCCTTGTGTCCCCCCCCCCCCCCAGTTCTGGAGACAAGACACCATGCTG